TAGCAAACCTTATCTTGTTCCTGTTTGTTTCACTCATTTGGTCCACAGTCTCTGCTGTCTCGTGTACTATCTGTTCCTTTATGTCCAAATCTTTTCTTTCTAACTGGATTGTAAATTCCATGAGAGTAAAGATATTCTCTATTTTATTTTTTATTTTCTTTATTTGGTGTTTTACAAATTCCCAAAGTAATAAGTACTTATATCAAGAGAAACCACATATAAAAAATAAACTGTTGAACAAGGTACTGTTCTAAGCACTTTATAAACATTAACTCATTTAATCCTCAAAACAGTTCAATAAAGTAGGTATCTCTATACACATATTTTGCAGCTGAAGGAATTTAGATGCAGACAGGTTAAATAATTTATGCAAGATCTGGGGCTTGTTACCAGCTACTATAGATAGTTTTATTGAAACATTTATATGTAAGCTGCATATATGTTCAGTTACCTATCTATGGCTTCTTTCATGCTATGATGGCAGAATTAACTGTGAAACTTAAAATATGTACTGCCTGGGCCTTTACTGGAGAAGCTTGCTGACTCCTGCTCAAGATTAAGACTGAATCTCCATCACACTCTCTATCATGTCTTTCTACCCTTAAGCCACCGTCTGAGATGACTGTCTTAGAGCTTCGTATGCTTCTCCCCACGTCTTTTTTTCCTCGCTCCTAGATCATGACTGCTATGTATGTGTTTATAGAAAGAGATCAACGTGTACGTAGTAGTTGGGTTCTATAAAGCTGCCATGAACACTGAATTATTGAATACTGAACCACTTCTCTTACAAGGAAAGACGGGGTTAGGTTCCTGTGAGCCTCTCCTCACAACAATGTTGTCAACCCATCATTACATAATTTGTTTTGTGTCTGCTTCTGTTCATATATACCTTACTTAATACATACTTTTGTTTAATTAACATTAAACTAAAAGCCAAGAACTTATGCCTAAATGAAAGATATCAAACGTATTTCCTTTCCCTTTTTTTTTTTGGTACTAGGGATCAAACTTGGTCCTTGTGCTTGCGAGGCAGGTGGCAGAACCACTGAGCTGAATCCCTGGCCCTCTAACATGTTTTCTTTCAAAGTATATCAAATCTTCTTGAACTTAGGAACATTAACCTGCATTTCATTGCTATACTCAGTGCCATTTTAAGTAGCAAAATCACACACACGCACACACACACACAAACACAAGTGTAAAAAAATTGAGCAACGAATATACTAAAAAAAGGATACATGTTTATAGTACAGTAGTTGAAACTAATGGCAGTTCTCTTCCTTGACACCTGTCTTTCAGCTGTCATGCTGGAAGCATGAGAACATGTGTTTCAGGTGACTCAAACATGTTTCTGCTCTACACATATCTGTGAGTGATTGCACAAACACAGGCGTGTTGACTTTGGGGTTACAAATACATTTTAGTGATAAAGCAAATTCAAAAATATAGAATCTAATAACAGTGAAGATTACCTGTTTACCTAAAAATCAATTTATCAATTGATTTGCTTTACAAAATAAAGTCACTCTTATTCACTTTTCTTAGAAATTTGCTTTTTTTCCTCTTTACAAATCAAATATTCTGGGAAGGGTAGGAGGGAGGAAAGGCTGGGGAAAGGATGGCTGACGGGCACAGGGTTGTAATTGGGTAGGAGGAATGACTCCTAAGTATTCTATGGCACATGGGATGACTGTAGTTGACAAAAATTATTTGATAATTTCAAAATAGCTATGGAGAGGATTTTTTAATGTCCATACCACAAAGAAATGATAAATGTCTGAGATGCTGGATATACCAATTCTGATCTGATCCTTGCACATTGTGTGCATGTATTTAAGTGTCACATTTTTGGACTGAAAGCTCAGTAGTTGAGGCATGTGTGAAGCCCTAGTTTCAGTCTTTAGCACTAGCATAAAAGAAGACATACTTTATCTGATTAACATGCATAACTACTATGCATCAATTAAAAATAAATATATAAAAAAGAGAAAATATTAGGCTGGGTGTGGTGGTGCATACCTCTAATCGCAGAAACTTTGGAAGCCTGCAGTAGGAGGATTGTGAGTTCAAGTCCAGGCTGGGCATTTTAGTAATTAAAAAAAAAAAAAAAAAAAAAAAAAAGATCAGGGGATGTACTGCAACACAAAGGCTCTGGTTCAATCCCTAGTACCACCAAGACAAAAAACAAACAAATCATGAATATCTGCAAAACTTGGTAGATGTAAACTTTTCTTTTCTTTTTTTAAAATTTTTTTGGTGTGCAGTACAATTACGTTCATTATTGGGATCTTGTACCTTTACATGACAGGTCTTGGTTCTCATTTTTTTCCCCTTTTCTTTTTTGTACACACACTTCAATTTCCTATGTGGCTGATCTTTTGATTTCTTTGTATTCTCAGCACGCTAAAACTCATTGGCAGCCAGTAAATACTTGTTTAATTTAGCAAATATTTATTTATTGACTTTTGTATGCCAAATACTGAATTGTATAGCGAATTAACATTTATTTTAACAAGAGATAGCATTTCACCTTTAAAGATTATACTACCCGGTAATAAGTGTCATTCTTGTAGTAGGTACTAAGAGTGAAACAAAAAAGAGAGTAATTATTTCTGCACTGAAGAGACTGGGGATGTGTTAAACCAGAGGTTACACTTAAATGTAAGCTCTTTGAGGGAGAGGATTTTTTTTGTTATGATTTCTCTGGTATCTCTGAACCTATAACAGCACCTGGAATAGAATGAGATTAAATACATATTTCAATTAAGATTTCTGTATTTGATGAGTGGAATGAAAAATATTTCTGACCTAAAGAACTACATGAGATGACATTTTCCAAACTTACTTGACCAACACTTACATTTTTTATGACTCTATATTTATAAAATGCATCTAAGTGCATAACTAAATGAAATTTACAATCTGAATATGTTCTTGTAACCAGAAGCCAGATCAAGAAACAGAACTGTACCAACTATACCTCTCATGTTCCCTTCTGGTCATTGTCCCCTTCCCCCACCAAGAGAAATCACCAGCTTGATCGCTAACATGTATATTATTTTATATGAGTGAAATAATATGTTAGTATTCATTTATATCCGGGCCTTTTTGTTCAGCCTTGTGTGTGACAGTCATTTGTATTGTTAAGTATAGTTACAGATCATTTCTTCTTATTGCCATATAGTATCCCACTGGGGCAGTATACCTAATTTGTTTATCTGTTCTACTATTGATTAACATTTGAGTAGAATCCACTTTGGAAATACGGTATTAAAAATCAGAACATACTAATGTACATCATTTAATTAACAGATATAAGCATAAATGTTGGATGTATACTTATGTGTGGAATATGGACATATATATATACATATGTTTAACTTTATAAACACTGCTAAGCAGTTTTCAAAAGAGGTTGGCCCATTTATGTTCCTACAACCAGTGTTTAGTAGTTTTTATTGTTTCACATCCTTATCGACATTTGGTGTTTTCTGTTTTTAGCTGTTTTGGTGGTTGTGTAGTGCTTTCTCGCTGTGATTTAAAATAAATTGTATTTAGTTAATTTTTTTGTGTGTGGCACTTGAGATTGAACCCAGGGCCTTCACACTGAGCCACCTCCTCAGCCTTTTCTTTATTTTCTATTTTGAAACAAGCCCTCACTAAATTGCTAAAGTACCTCTGCTGGGCTTAAACTTATGATCTTCTTGCCTCACAGTCCCAGAGTGCTGTGTTACAGGCACGTGCCGCGACACCAGCTTCTCTGGTTATTTATTTATTTATGAGACAGGGTCTTGCTGTGTATTCCAGGCTGGCCTTGAACTCACTATGTGGCCCAGGCTGGCCTTGAACTCAGGGTGATTTTCCTGCCTCAGACGCCTGAGTGCTGGAGTTACAGGTGTGCGCCACCATGCTGGGCTTCTCACTGTGATTTTAGTGCACATTTCCCTGATGATGTTCAGGCACTTTCTCATGGCCACTTATATATGCTTTTCCTGTTAAGTGTCACAGAACTGTGGGAAGAGAAAAGGACTAAAGACACAATCCTGGAGAAGAACACCAACCTTTACAGGGCAGAATGCTGGAAAAAATGGGGAGAGATTGAGCTAGGCAGATTCTGTAGGGATAGTGGAACCCAGAATTGTGGACTAGGGGTGTAGCTCAGGGGCCTAGTATGTTTCAGGTCTTGGGTTTGAGCCTCATCAACACCAAAACAACAGTAAAATAAAATAGTCGCTATGGTTTATATCTCAGTGTGCCCCCAAGAGCCTTATGTGCTCACAGGCAGAACTTTTGGACAGTGGTTATATTTGGGGGCACTACGGCTGGCTTGGTGTTGGCAAGTGAGGCCTGCTCTGAAGAGGTGGTTCACTGGGGCATAACCCGGAAGGGCGTATCTTCTTCCCAAGCTTGTACCTTTACTTTTTGCATCCCAACTGCCATGACATGAGCAACTCTTCCTCCACAAAACCTCTCCTTTAAGTTTTGGGTATTGGTATCTGTCCCAGCGATGAGTAAAATTACTCAGACAATAGTGTTATGACAGCTTGAAAGAGAAGAAAAGATTGTGTAGGCAACAGGGTCAAATACTGAAAAGAAGTTCCATCTCATGAGAAAGGAGAAGAGGGTGTACTTTGTCACTGGAGAGAACTAGGTAGTTTGGAGGTGTGTGAAAGCCATAGCGTGTGGAGTCTGAAGAGCGTACGAGAAGGAAGAAACTATATAATCAAAGTCGGCTTTCAGTCTTGCCCCAAATCTGGGGATCATTGTGAAATAAATTATTTGTCTTTAATTATCTGGGCAATTGTCTCTGCCTTTCTGCTGTGTCTTGCCTGTGAAGATCTACTTTAATGTAGCATTTAGAGCTCCACTTCCTTTTGATTACCCATAAAGTTATCAAATTCAAAGTACTGAAAATCTTTCCTTCCTCTCTGGGGTGATAGTGTGATATGATGAATATATTAAAGAAGACTAATCTTTTTGCCTTTGTTTTTTTTCCCCAGGGGACAGTTTTCCCATCCCAAATCACTAATGAACGTGAATCATTGCTAATGGTGAAGAAACTTTTTGCTACTTCTGTATCATGTATAATGTATCTAAGGGGCTTGTTTCCAGAGAGCTGTTATGGAGAACGTCGATTGGATGGTAAAGTTTAATTAAATGGTTGCTTTAGCAATTGTAGCCCTTTTCTCTGTATAACAAGAGGAAATAGCTGGGCGTGGTGGCGCACACCTGTAATCCCAGCACCCGGGAGGCTGAGGCAGGAGGATCACTGTGAGTTGGAGACCAGCCTGGGCTACATAGTGAGTTCCAGTTCAGTCTCAACTACATAGTGAGACCCTGTCTCAAAAGAAAAGAGGAAATCATTTCTTATACAATGTGCTAATTCCAATTGATGGACCAGTTCTTTAAAAACAATGTGTTAATCCATTTTCCATTTTAATTTCAGTATGTTTAGTGATTTTACTTATAGAAACCATTAATTTCTGGCTAGATACCAAATGAGAAAAGAAATCCGTAGGGGCAAGACAAGTAAGTAATTCTGAGCTATCCCTATAAAAGCAGTAGCCAGAACAAAATCTATTTAAATGTTGAAGATTTATACTATTTTGTGCCTCAACTGAATTTGCTCTTTGAAGTATATTTTGGTATTGAAGAAGCTCAGAGGAGCAAGGTATAAAACTCTCCTCTCTGTCAATGTATATAAATATGTTGGAGGAAAAAGGTAAACCCATTTGTTAATTAGTATATATATTTAAATAACTGCAGTATTATTCTAATCAGTTCTGTTCAATTACCAGGTATTCTTTTTTTGCCTCCTGTTTCTTGTGCCCCTAAATGTACCATCTTACTGCCTTATATTAGAAGCTGTTTTAGGCTCCTTTTTTTCCTTTGTATCAAAAGCATTTATCTGTGATTTTTCAATTTTTCAAAATTTTACTGTTTGTTTGAATAGCTGTATTGTTACTCTTGTTGATTTTTATCTCTCTATTTCATATTTCTATTTTGTTTGGAACACAGAATGGCAAATGATATGTTCTGGGTAACTAAGCACTTATTGTATGTCAGTCACTACCCTAAGAATGGGGATAAAACCATTCCTTGTAGCTTTATTTTTTATGACAAAATAGAAGGTACATCTCTCTCTGAGTTTGTACTTTAAAACACATCACAGAAATTCTAAATACAGTGGTACTTGGATTCACGAACTTAATTCTTTCCACAATTCTGAGCGCAGAATTCATTCTACGATTCTGGTTGCAACCAAACTGCAAGCGTAGTACGTTACTCTGATTACATCTAAATGTTATGCTAATGTGAAATAATTTTCATATTCCTTAATTGAGAAGAGATGATATCAGTTTTAGGATAGGGAAACAATATGAAAATGTGAGTGACTCATGCAAAATCATCCATGAATTAGTAATTGATTTTGCACTGATCTAAACACAAAAACATTGTTTTTTTTTTCTCTTTGGAGACAAGGTCTCTGTATATAGTTCAGGCTTGCCTTGAATTTGCTGTGAAGCCCACGTTGGCCTCGAATTCATGATTCTTTTGCCCAAGACTTTGGAGTGCTGGGATTATAGGCGTGAGTCACCAGGCCTGGCTCCAAAACTCGTTTAATATGTTCTGCTTCTGTTCCCTAAGTTTAGACAAGCAGTTGGATTTCAGATGAAAATGAAATTAATATTTGAGAATTAAACCATACAAAATCTCTTTTCGGTCCTGCCCTCTTCATTGGGAGGGAGGGAAAGAAATAACAGAAAAGTTTGAGGTGTATATTTAAATTGGTCAACAGAGCCTCAATTCTGCTTTGTGATTGTTTAGAAGCGAAAAGAAGCAAAGCAACACAATTTGATTTTGCATGGAACTCAGCTGTGCTACACTGTATATAGACGAGGTTGATAAACTGTCTTTAGAATTGGAATTGTTACTGGACAGAATCCAAGGAGGCCCCTCAAAGGGAAGATGGGAACCTAAACTGAGCAAGACATATTCTTGTTACAGAAAAATAATTTCAGGATGTGTCCATAAGAGGTATAGGCAGATTCATTAAGCAGATTTGAAGTATGCACTGAGAGACAAAATAGAGCACAGGTGCTCAAAAGTAAGGTATGCTGTGGTCTGGGGCTGGGGATGTATGTGGTCTTGGCAGTACCCTTTATCAAGGTGAACGACCTAAGATGTGTTACCTAAAAACATTCTTTGAATAATTTGCATGTTTCCTTATCTTTAGATCAAGTTATTGCCCTTTTCTCTATCAACTAGGTTAATTTATGGATTTACAGTATCTTTAAGAGATTTGGTTGTGATGTGCCTGGAAGGAACAAACCTAGGGGATAAAAGTACAGATAAAGTAGATAGAGGTTACAGATGTTTTTATAATCCATAAAACTAAGTAAATTTATATAAATAAAACAAAAGAAATACCTGTTTAGCATGGATATTTTCATTATAGCAGTAATTTTGTAGGTGAAAATAGACTGTTTCTATTTTTGTAGACCTCAGTTTAAAAATACTCCGAGGAAACAAAAAATGTCCTGGGTCACTGCATATTATCAAATGGTAAGTAACTGAAATTCCATGAGAGTTGAACAACATTTTTATCATTTTCATGGCTGAAATTGCTCATAAAACTTTCTTTGGAAAGATCATTTCCTTAAGATCACTCTCCCTTTTTATAATTTCCTTGAAATTTGAATCAATTATTTAATATTATTCTAAGATATTTATTTAGTTTTTGTTTTGTTTTGTTTTGTTTTGTTGTTTTGTAGTGGGACCTTGCGCTTGCGAGGCAGGCAGCAGCACTACTGAGCTAAATCCCCAGCCCAATACTGATTTAGTTTTGATTTCAAAAGAAAATGGACTGATCTAAAGAAAAAAGTCAAGTGAGGTATGGTGCACACACCTGTAATGCCAGCTACTCAGGAGGCTGAGGCAGAAAGATTACAAGTTTGAGGTCAATCTGGGCAATTTACCACAATCCTGTCTCAAAAATAAATAAAAAATAATGAGAGAGAGAGAGAGAGAGAGAGCATATGGGATGGGGTAGCTCAGTAGTAAAGCACTTGCCTAGCATACCCTAGGCCCTGGGTTCAACCCCCAGGATTGTTTTTTAAAAAAGGTCAAATTTTGATTATTTGTTATATGTATGTCAATATAATAAACATTATATGAGATGCTTTGCAAGTGCAAGTTCCCGAATTTGATCCCCAGTACCAAAAACAAACAAACATTATAGGAGAAAAAAATGGTTCCCTTCCTGAAATTTGCTCATTATTTATAAAGTTCTGTACATATACAAAAATGTTGGAAGTTTATTAAAAATGATAAATGGAGCCGGGTGTGGTGGCGCACACCTGTAATCCCAGCACTCGGGAGGCTGAGGTAGGAGGATCGCTGTGAGTTTGAGACCAGCCTGGGTTACGTAGTGAGTTCCAGGTCAGTCTCAACTACGTAGTAAGAGGGCCAGGGATTTAGCTCAGTGGTTCTGGCACCTGCCTCTCAACTACATAGTAAGACCCTGTCTCAAAAGAAAAAAGATAAATGGAAAAGGTAGGAGTTATCAGTTTAATATACTTTAAATCAAAAAGCATAAACTAATGGTGTACTGGAATTCTTTTGGCTTTGCATGTGGTCCAAATTGACATTAAGCATTTATTTTTTGACAGGATTCAAGGTTGCTTTCAGGCTTTGGAAAAGAAATACGTAAGAATGTTTTCAATTTATACCAGGATCAAAGATTCATCTTTTACCCCTTAAAAAAGTTTAGATTCTTTTTGTGTTTAATGGTGTACCAGGGCTGCGTTTACATTCATGAACCAGTATCCTTTTATTTCATATCTTTGTTGTTCCATTGATATCCTCTTTACATTAATTAGAAATGAAGCTCTCACTTTTCTCTTTTAGACACTCATATCTGTTTGACCACAGAATTTCCTCTGAAGTCCCTGGAAGAGATCCACAGGATGTGGGATAGAGGAGACTAGAATCTGGCATTTAGTGCATTGAACATGTTCAAAATAGTGAAAATTCAGTTTGCAGATATGAAAGGAAAAAAGATTTGAATAATTTTTTTCTACCTTAGTTATTTTGGTAACTATGTTTGGTTCATGTGTATAACTTGTTCTCTCAAAATGGTTAATAGTATATCCTGAATTCTTTTAATCTTGAATTTTTAAAAAATGCAGTTTAAATTTTAAGTGCCATCTGATCTTTCGTGTTTCCTAAACAGCTATGAAGAGTTTAAAAAATGGAGGCTCTAGTTGTAGTTGAAGAGACAAAATGTGTATAAATGAAAATTTTATCACTGCTTTTCTCCCTTTTCCCTGGCTGTGCCTTCTTTTTACTTTTCAATTCCTATTTCTTTAAGAAATTTTGAGGTGAGCATGCTTACATTGTATTATTTAGTATGTTCATACATTTCCTCTCTTTATAGAAGCGTAAACTGAATGGTTGTGACTTATTCAATACTGACCTAGGAAACCAAGGGATGCAAAGATACAGTGGACCCTTGAGTTACAACTGGCCTGACATATGAACAACTTGAGTTGTGACTGAAATTTTAGTTTTAACTTATGACCAAAGTCTTGAGTTACAACCTGATTACTGGTCACTTGTGCTTCCAGATGGTCTCAGATACAGATTTAACCCTTAAAGAGTTCTGGAAGGAACTTTACAGTATCCTTTCCTGTGTGGGGTTAATTGAGAAATCCTAGGCCAGTGGCTTTCTAAGGACACTGAGATCTGCCTGTATAGAGGAGCCTGTGCCTTCACTTGATCAACCTGAGTTATAACCAGCCCTCAGGAATGAATGTAAGTCAAGGGTCCACTGAAAATCAGATGAGGGAAAAAATTTATAAACCATGGTAGAAGAAATACTCGTAAGCAGGACTAATGATCAGTGGTTATATATTGGCCTAACTAGCTGTTGGTAAAGTACTGGTATTCCCTCTGTAGTAATGGTAAATAGCAGATTTTTTTGAAGCCTTGTATGAACCCTCACCAACATCCTCCCTCTTACCCCATCATGGTCTCTCGTGAAATATCCCTAGACATCTCTCAAGTCCAGCAATTAAAGGTTAACACCTAGTTCAAGGGATGTTTCCAGGAACCCAGCTCCAGGGCTAAGTTGGATAATTTCTGAGCAGTTTATTGACTGTTCCATATTGGGTTCTATTGATTTTTTTTCATATCAGCAGATATATTTATGTAAAAGTACCAGATATATATTTGATACTGCCCCCATCACAAATACAAGTAGCCATAACTCTCATTAGGATGTATACATGTCAAAAGAAAGATACTGAAAAATTCATGCATAACAGGAAGTGTGAAAAAGGAGGGATTATAATTAGGGACATGAAGGAAATCTTTGACAGAAAATGATCTTGAGCTTTGAAGGCCTTGAGCAGACAGCTTGAGAAAGGGAGCAAATCATTACTGGTGTACCAAATACTCTCCTTCAGCTGTTCAGAAGAGCAGTCTAACAAAGAAAGAGTGTCTTAGTCGATGAGCATATTTTATACTAAATGACTACCTATGTGATTTGAATTAACTGTTTGGGGGAGATCAAAAGACAAAACCTTAGCTTGGGATTTAGCTCAGTGGTTCTGCCATGTGCCTTGCAAGCAAAAGTGCCCGAGTTCATTCCCTGGTACAAAAAAAAACAAAAACAAAAACAAAAAAACAAAAAAACCCCACCCAAAACCGCCTTAGATATATGACAGACTCTTTTTGAGTTGTTAATATTTTATCTTTTCTTGGGATATCTTGTTGCTAGGAGGAAATTATTTTTTAATATTTTGGAAATAATATCTTAAAAGTAGTTGAAGTAAATCAAGTTTGAGCATCTAGAGATCTTGAAAGATCTTCTGCTGATTATTTCTAGTTATGAAATTTTGGTTGATTTTTCTATTATTTTCTCGTACTTTATATTATCCTTGAATTCCTTTAGTATGCAATAGAGTTTTAGATAATTATCACACAAAGATACTATATTATTGTAGTGACCTAACTTGTCTCCTATTCCTGCTCTCAGTCCCTCATCATTCTAAACTCACTGTCCCCACTACATTCTCTCAGAAACTTCAGTCTAATCATGGCATTCTTTTACCCCAAAATTTCCACGGCTTTAAAAATAAAGTTCAGAGCCAGGCATGGTGGCGCACGCCTGTAATCCCAGCATTGGGAGGCTGAGGCAGGAGGATCGCTGTGAGTTCGAGACCAGCCTGGGCTACACAGTGAGTTCCAGGTCAGTCTCAACTACATAGTGAGACCCTGTCTCAAAAAAACAAAATAAATTTAATAAATAAATAAATGCATAATAAAATAAAAATAAAGTTCAGAACCCCTCATATGATCTGCAAGACCTGTATGGTCCCTGTTTGCCTTGCAAGGCATTATTCTCATTCCCATGTTCAAGCCACGTGGATTCTAGAACATGCCACAATTCCTTGTACTTTTGCACATATTTTTCCTTTTGCCTGAAAAATTTCTCTCTGACCCCGTATATGTTGCAAAGCTAACTCCAGTTTACCCTTGGGGCCTCAGCTCAGGAAGGCCTTCCTGGACACCCCCTTTGCCCAGCCTGTATTGCTTTCCTCTTTGGTGTTCTCACAGCACCCACCTGCTTCTGCATAGCCATTAACATGACTGTAACGATGTAGTTATCTGTGCTAATTTTGGTTTTGTTGGTCTTTCCTGTTAGTCTTCGTGTTTCCTGAGGTCAGGGTCCATGTCTTTGTACGTGTGAGCTATTAGTCGGTATAAATCCGGGTTTCATTGGGTGGACTTCAAATCAATTACATGCAGTAACCAATGTAGCCACATGATGTCACTAAAGTTTTAGTCCTTTGTCATGAAATTATGGACCTGAAATTTTCTGATTTGTATTCTAGGTTTTGAAAACTGTATCATAAACTTGATTATATTTCTGTCTCTATATTCTATTACTCTTTTAATCAGAGATAATATCTTTATAGTAGTGTATATGTAGAGGCAAGAGTTTTATAGATATATCAAATTTTGATTTTTACTTTAGTAGATTAGTTTCAGAAGGAACACATTTTAGCAGCTGGATGAGAGGTTAGGTAGAACTCTTGAAGACAGTTGTAGGAAAAGATTTTATGAACAAAATCTCAGTTGCACATGAACTGGCGCAATCAACAAGTGGGATCTCTTCTTATTAAAAAGCTTCTGCACGCCAGGGATTTAGTTCAGTGGTTCCGCTGCCTACTTCACAAGCGCAAGGTCCCAAGTTTGATCCCTGGTACCAAAATGCAACAAATAAACAAGCAAACGAAAAGCTTCTGTACAGCAAGAGAAACCACCAACAGTGTGAAAAGGCAACTCACAATGTGGGAAAAAATGTCACCAGCTGTTCCTCACACAAGGGTCTACAATCTACAATATATAAAGAATTTTTAAAAATCAGACCTCCCAAATTTAAAGACCCAATCCAAAAATGAGCATCTGAAATGCACAGACATTTCTCAGACAAATAAAGAGAAATAGCAAATAAAAATATGAAAAAACATTCAATATCACTGATCTTTTGAGAGATGAAAGTGAAAACGGTGTTGAGATTCTACCTCACCCCAGAAATAATGGCTGCTATCCTGAAATCAACCAATAGCAAACGCTGGCGGGGAGGTGCAGAAAGAGGAACCCTGCATCACTGCTGGTGGGAGTGCAGACTGGTGCAACCACCGTGGAAATCAGTGTGGAGAAACCTCAGAGAACCAGCATTGGAGGTCCCATTTGACCCAGCTATTCCCCCGCTGGGTATCTTCCCAAAAGAATTTAAACAATCATACCACAGTGATATATGTGCACCCGTGTTCGTAGCAGCACAGTTTGTAATAGCTAACTCTTGGAAACAGCCCAATTGCACATCAGCTGGAGACTGTATAAAAAAAAAATGTGTGTGTGTGTGTTTTAAATAAAACGGAGCACTACTCAGCTATAAAGAATGAGAAATTAGAGCTATTTATAGCTAAATGGCTGCACATTGAGGCCGTACTTTTAAGTGAAATAAATAGGACACACGTGTAAATACTGAATAGTTTCTCTAGTATGAGAAACTGAGAGTGTAAATAAGATAAAATAGATAATGGGAAATGGGAAAAAAAGGGGCAAAGGGGAAGGGGAAATTGGAGGAGTAGGGGAAAGAAAAGAAGGGAATGGAATCAATATGAGAAAATGAGAAAATGGAAACAAAGTCTTTGTAAATAGGGAGGGATGGAGGGGAAAATAACTAAGATAGATTATGTAAAGGTACTGTATACCTAAAATGTAGCAATAAAATTAATTTTTTAAAAAGGAACACTTTTTGGGTACACTTGTAGTATATTTTATTATTAGCAATAATAAAAAAAAAATTTTTTTTGTACCCGCGATTGAACTTGGGACCTTGTGCTTAAGAGGCAGGTGGTAGAAGTCCCCAGCCCAGCAGTAACAAATTATTTTGTATATCTTTTGCCTCCAGCAATTCTTTGGACCCTCTCTAAAGCAATATTTTAATTAGCCTCTACTGGAAATAACAATAATATAAGTGTGAATATATAGTAACAATAATTTTCTTTTCTCTTGAAGCTACACATGGCAGTGCTTTTAGTAAGTATGCACTTCAACACTAAGCTTCTGTCTGTACTGCACTGACTTTTGGCAAGTGAAATATTTAAGTAGTATTCTCTCCCTTCCTCCTTTTATTTGTCTTTTGATATTTAGAATTTTTAAAAATCTAAGGTTAGGGATATAGCTGAGTGGTAGAGCACTTCCCTCAATATCTCAAAAAAGTCTATATTTTATTTTTCATTTATATTTTTATTTATTTATTTATTTTGGTGCCGGGGATCAAACTTGGGGCCTTGCGCTTGCAAGGCAGGTGTCAGAACCACTGAGCTAACTCCCCGGCACAATATTTATTTTTTTGGAACCTAAGGCCTTTGTGCTAAGCTACATCCTCAGCCCATTTTTTTATTTTTTTATTTTGAAATAGGGTCTCACTAAATTGCTAAATTACCCAGGTTGACCTGGAACTTTTAATTCTCCTGCCTCAGTCTCTCAGAGTGTTGGAATTATAGGCCTGTGCCCCTAGGCCCAGCTTCATTTGCTGGCTCTCAGAATTTCAGGTTTTTTTTTTTTGTTTGTTTGTTTTTTTTTTGGTACCGGGGATTGAACTCGGGTCCTTGTGCTTGCAAGGCAGGCCACCGAACCTCTGAGCTAAATCCCCAGCCCAATATTTTATTTTTCTTTAGTTACTTTACCACTCAAAGTTGTGTTTTGTTTTGAAAGTTTGAATTTTTTCTGGGAACTTTTGCTTGCCCTTAGATATATCATGGTATATATAGTTAAGAACAGGGGAAAAAAAAAAAAAGAAAAGAAAAGATATTGAGGGTCTTTAGACATATTATTTAATTAAAAAGTTAAACCATAACAAATTATTTACAACTTATTTGTAACTCAGTCACCATAATTATACATATTTTGTGTTTCTTATAATTTGCTTATATTCAATGTTCATGGAATGTTCTACAAACTCCATAGTCACAAAATAAGAGATTATTGAACAAAAAAAACAAAAAAGAGTTTATTGTATCTCTAGCTTAAAGTATATGTCAGCAAAATATTTAGTTAATAGAGCACAACTTAAAGTGTTTATATGGAAAATATACATCATAAGGAGTAATCTAGTAAATTTCCGGAAATGAATGCTATTTATTTTTCCTTAAACAGCTTTACACAAATCCCAAGGAACCTGAGGTGAGAAGACCCATGTGTAAAAGGTGGTGTATGTACATTATGTTGAAGTATCTTTGCATGGGCTGATACTATAGATTTTGTTACTCAGTTACTTTATGAACAGAGTAATTCACAATGAGTTCTCAGTATATTTGGTTATAAATGTGACCAACCTTTCTTTTGAAATTTTCAAAAACGAGGGGTATTAAGAAAAAAAGCATTGAGTAAAAGTGAGCCTATTTTCCTAACTTGTTAACATTAAGGTATAAATGTATTTTAGTTCCATTTTATTATTTATTTAACTGATTCTGAATTCTTTCTGTTTATGACCTTTTGGGAAAATAAATGAGATAAGGCATAATTCTAATCTTTTTTTAATAATTAAAATTTTCCCTTTGGATCTTTTCTCTTTTTTTGGAAGTACTGGAGATTGAACACAGGGATTTGCACATGCCAGGCAAACATTCTATTGAGCTACCTCTCTCTGACTTTTTTTTTTTTTTTTTTTTTTTTTTACAAATTCTTACTAAGTTGTCCAGGCTGTCCTCAAACTTGAGATCTTCCTATTTCAGCCTCCCAAGTGTCTAAGATCACAGGAAAGGACCACCATGCCCAGTCTGACCCTTTCATAGATTTTTCAGAGTTTTATTTATTTACCTCTCTCTCTCTCTCTCCCTTCCTCCCCCTTCCCCTCCCCCTGTAGATTTTTCTCACGATTTCTTAGCCAGTCTGTCCGCACTAAACGTCTTTCTTTTCCTTCTGAGGACACCCTTACAACTTAACACTCTCGAGTGATTTGTGTAGATCACGTTGTTTTCCCCAGAAGACCATACATTCTTGAGGACAAAGTTCTTTTGTTTTCTATGTCTCAGAGTTAGTGCTATGACCCTGCCAACCTAATAGTTTACTTGAGCCACTTGGAGTGGCTTCTGTGGCCGTGGTGAAGAGCTGGAAGAAGCCCTGTATTTTAGTTGTTTCCCTCCTAGCTTTCTTTCCCTTTTCCTTTCAGGCTTCCTTCTCTAAGCCAATGGATTTATTTCAACTGGGAGTGTTTGAGGCTAAATTGTTTTTAGTTATTAATAGCCTTTTTGCAAGTTATAAATAGCAGTGCAGGCAAGCAGGAAGAGAACCTACTGTATACAGGTGGACAGCAATCGCTCAGTGCTCAAACTAGTTTTACCTTTCTGTGTCTTTGTCTTGGGTTTAGTTTCAAGATTCCCTTTTCCTAAAGATTGGAGGGCAAATTTCTTAAACTAAAATTTCCTGATCATTTGGCTGTTTTTTTGGTGCAGTGTTTATTATATTTTCTTATGCATGGAAAAACTCCTAGTTTGAAATCAGTGGGTTTGGCATAGTGAAATGCTGAGCAATGTAGGCTTAACTACAGAAAAATCTTACAGAGTTGGAAGAAAACTGTTAAACGAATCTTAGTGAAGTTAGGAAACAAGTTATTCTATGGTGACTTCTGAGCTGTCATTTATGATCTGAGAAAAATACTTCAAATGTTTTAGATTGTTCCCTGCAGTAGTGAGCTCAAACTACTCGGCGGTGTTCATGGCCTTCTTTTGATTACCAAAAAATTTGGCAGCATGTTTGAGTATATTAAAAAACTTAGGGATGGGGATTTAGCTCAGTGGTTCCAGCGCCTGCCTTGCAAAAGGACCCGAGTTCGATCTCCGGTGCCAAAAACAAAACAAAACAAAACAAAAAAAACAGAAAACCTCAAAAGAACGATTAATTCAGCAATATTTACAATATAACTCCACTATGATATATCGATGTTCATAGTTCCTAAAAGCACCCACAAGGTAACACTGTTTTATGGTTGCTGTTTAGCATTGAGTCACTAATGTATCTGTTTAGTTCCCTGATCACATTCTCTTATGTACTCACAAAACGTCATTCTCACATAAGCGTAGTCTTTGGCATTTATCTGATATTGTGCCAAACCCTTGAGTCATATTCCTAGAAGTAGAACCTTCCCTAAGCAAAATTGCACAAACAATAACAATGTTTATATTTACCTGAAACAAAAATACACTTTGTGCTAGGATTAAAATTTGCAGCTCTCCGTTTTTTCCAAAGTTTTATTTTTATTGGTTCGTGTTTGCAGTGCATAACGATTACATTCATTGTGGGAAGCTGGCACATGTACATAACACAACACATCTTGATTCCTTTTAACCCCACACCAACAGCACTCTTGTGAAGAGTACATTATGGAGCAACAGTTGAGAGCATCTTTCCTAGTTCAGAGGCCAGCAGAGTCTTAGGCACTGCCCAAAGTTGTGGCACTTTTGCATTTGAAGTTTGTTCTGGCCGCTGTATCTCTTGAAAGAGACGGACTGACCAAAGCAGCGGAAGTAATGAAGAGTGATTGTTACTATACAGGGATACTGCTGAATATGTGGTGATCATTAACAAGGTGGGTCGGCTGAGTGGTGTTATAGTAAGGAAAGGCCTCCTGTGTTTGATAGACCTTAAAGAATGACTTTATCTGTGAATTATCATGAGGACCCAAAGCTTACTGTTTCACCATCTAGTCTTTTGTGCTTATCGGAGGGTAATATCCACTTTGAATAGCCTTCTTCAGGGGCTGAACCATAGGTTGTGCCTGTTCCATAGGCATAACATGACTTTAGAGACTTTTTTTTGTAGCGGGGATCAAACTCGGGACTTTGCACTTGCGAGGCAGGAAGCATAAACACTGAGCTAAATCCCCAGCCCCAACTTTAGAGACTTTTAAAAAACCTTA